TTCTGCAAGGCGTGCGGGGCCAATACAGGGCGATGGAATTCCACGGAACCGCTGTGAGTTGGTGATACGGAAGGAGGACACGAAAGGGAGGAAAATTGGTGGCGATAACGATGAAGCCGGGGGATATGAAGTATTGCGTGTTATCCGTAGTGGGATAATCGGGGCACCTTGGATCACTGGTTACGGCACGGTGAAACTCCTTGGGGCACAATCGATTCTCGGTTAGGCAGGGGAATTCCGGGTATCTTTGCCTAATACATTCTCAACCCAAAAGTCGAAGTACTCCGAGTCCCAGGAGCTCGACATCTTGTCATTGCGGGGTAGTGGAATCCCTCCGTGCGTATCTGACGAGCGGGGGAATCTCCCAATAGGGTATCGGGAAATCCCTCTATCTTTAGGTGGGTGAAGGAAGGAAAATTCCCTGCTCGTCCGATCACCACGTGTGGACACATGTAGGCTGCATAATTTCAATCGCGCTTGCGTGTATCAACGCGAGGTGTTGCGTGCACCCGGGCCTATTGGCTATCAAAGTGAGAGTTTAATCCCTTATGCAAAGATCGTCCCCTGTCCGGGATGCTACCCAATCATCTAATCACTCAGCAATCATTTTCGAGCATGCAAGGTGTCATTACACATCAGTCATCTCAGCAACATCAGTTCAACAGCGGATCAAAGTGACAAGCATTAAAGAAAGCAATTACGACAACTTATGCAAAAATGACAATTCAAATTCGTCCATCCCATACATGCAAAAGAGGAAAGACCGGGACAGAATGGGATATCATACAATGACCGGTATCGAAACAGATGTGCCGAAGAGAAATGAGAGCGAATCGCTCGAACCGAAATCAAAATTTATATACAAAAACAAAGAGGGGGACAAAACAAAGAAAATCGCAAATCCACGTCCATCAACCTCAGCTCCCTCTTCCTCTCTCTCTCTCTCGATGCGGACAGTCCGTCGTCGTGCACCAACCCACGAAGTCGTCACCCCGCTTAGTCCTCCTGCACCCGTCAGGTTCGCCCGCGCGCTACAGTCTGTCGTAGCCCCACACGATAACCCCGCGCACTCGGCACCAGCGCGTCGGGTCGCCTGACTCCTACTTCAACTCACCTCTTACTTCGCTCGTGGGTCGACCCTCACTGATCGCGCTACCCTGAGCTTCCAACAACTGATTAAGAGAGCTATCTAATTGCGCAGCCGGAATTTATAGCGTGTATGTATGAGCGAGGAACATGGAATTGCAAGGACTCAGAAAGGAGATTAGGAGAGGGAGCGCCTACTTTCTTTATGGCTAGACTGCGGCGTGGGGGAGGTAGCCACTCTCCACGCATCGATCCGATCATGCAGCCTGCGGGCTTGACAGCCACAACAAAAAGAAAAGGAAACAGCGGGAAAGACGAAGCTCAGGAAGAAAGATACAGTTACAATGGCGCCCCGCCCAAAATTACGGTTACACGCACGATTAAGGGCGCCGACTAATCAGAGCTCCGCTGCAGCTGCAAAAAGAAGCGGGCAAGAAAAACAACGCGCGGCAAAAAGATATCCCGAATCCCGAAATTCCTAAATTCCTAAACTTATTGCAAAAGGAACTTTTAATAAAGCACAAATCCCGAAAAGAAAGTCCATAATTCTGAGAGCCTTAAGTGCTTGACAAGATTCAAAAAAGAAATTCAAAAGAAGCAAAACTTCCCGCGCGACCTCCACGCCTCAAACGTGACAACAGAACAAGAGAGAAGCGACGTCAACCATTATTATTTGTGCCTTTGTCGACGCGTCAGCCACTCAATCGGCCTTCTCGGGACTTGCCCGGCCCTGAACCCAGCCATCCGAAAAGAAGCGATGCAAAAAGACGAAGAAGCGAGGACACCGATGCAATTTCCCTTCGATCGCAATCTCCTGTAATTGGCCCATCCTTCCCAGCTCAGTACCCCTCATCCTTCCCAGCTCAGGACCCCTCATTGTCATCGCGCAGAAAATCGCGTGGAGCAGAAAATGGTTCGTCACACGCTTGTCTGTTCATGTCTGTCGCCACGCATATGTGCCTTTTCTGGGCCCCGCCTTGCCTCTCTCTCCTGTAATTTGAGACTGAATCCACCGCTAGAACATGGAAAGATACATTGCCATCTTTTTTTTTTTTCTTTTTTTTTTCAAAAAAGTAATCTATATTTTTCTCTCAATCTATTTCATCTGTCTTGGTGGTACGCATCTATCTCATCCTCTCACTGGTCTATTTATCGTATGGGGGAACACCAACCAACCCGGCCCACTGGGTAGGTTTGCACCACAGCTGTGGTGCGAGAGCAGGGACTATGGGGGAACACCAACCAACCCGGATCTCTCCCCAGCCCACGGGGTAGGTTTGCACCACAACTGTGGTGCGAGAGTAAGGCTGTACCAGTCCCTCATCACGGTGACGAGGGGTGGGCAGGCATTGCCGATGGGAGAAAGAGGCGGTGCTAGCGCCGAGCAATGGCCAGTCGCTGGCCAGTCACTGCACCTCCGCCTACCCCCCCCCCAACCCCACATGGTGGTGTCTAATGGCCAATGTTGTGGCTGCATAGCAGCCAACAACATCAGCCAAGGTCCTGGCAATGCTGGCTGCACCTCCGCCTACCCCCCCCCCAACCCCACATGGTGGTGTCTAATGGCCAATATTGTGGCTGCATAGCAGCCAACAACATCAGCCAAGGTCCTGGCAATGCTGGCTTGGGGGCCCAACGGGTTATCTCTAGCTGGTAGAACACGTACGTGAGGCCAATGGGGATTGAACCCATGACCTCCTGAATGCAACTTCTGTGCCTTACCAACTGAGCTAGGCCTGCGCATGTGGAGAGTAGTGCAGTGAGGCCTGATGGCACTCATAAATCGAGAGAAATGCTGCAAAATTTCCCCCCTCCCCCCAATTTTCTTCCCCCTCTTCCCTTCCTTTCCTCTCCCGACCCAATGCCCGAGGCCCTCCCTCCACTACTGAGCAAAAAGCAAAAACCAAAAAATAGATGCTGTCCGCAGATCACGCCCACTATCTCCTTTTTTTTTTCCCTTGGTCTTTTTTTACCCCCCTCTCTACCTCTGACTTTCACGCTCATCACCCTCCCCTCCCGTTCATCTGAGGGCCTAGTTGCACTACTTGCCATACGCCAAGTTTGGAGAGTAGGTGCCAGGTTGCACTTACTCGCCGAACTTGACGAATGCAAAATGTGTCAGATGGCTCGCCACATTGTCGACACAAGTTGTGGAGAGTGAATTCGGTTTCCCCGCCTGTGCACGGCGGTTTGTGGAGAGTGGTCCTCGGACCTCTCCACAAAACAACTTTCTGGAGAGTGCAGGGCTTCACGAGTAGACATCAGGTAGACAAAAATTTTTAACTTTTCTGTAGAAGAAATATAGTGGCAAGTAAAGTGCAACCAGGCCTCGAGTTCGACGCGATTCTCAGTTTTTTCACTCTCCACGCATCCGCCACGAAATGTGACGGATGGCGAATAGTGCAACTAGGCCCTCAGCGAAAAAAGCAAGGCCTGGGTTGTACCCATTGAGATCTAGAGTACCTGGAATACGGTACTCCCTACAGAGTCTCGAGGGTACAAGGTGGGAAACCTCGTCATGACAACCCCGGCTCCACACGGCTATTAGCTGGTCCGACGGGCCTCTCTTTTGGTTTGATGGATCTTCCTTCGGATTTCTGCAAATCACCTGCTCCAGATAGAACTCTGTAGTTTGCTTTATATCTTTGGGTATTTGTCGTTTCTTGGCTAGTCACATTAGACTATGGTCTCCTGTCAATGTAAGCAAGGTCTCTTCATTGGAGGTAGTCCGAGAACTGTCCTCTTTCCTGTAACATCTTTAAGCGAAGCTGGGTAAGGCTCCCAGTCAGAATAGCAGAATAATTGCTTAATTTGCTTAGTGGTTGCCTCTCTTATTTCTGGGTTTGGAATTTGTTAGTCCAGCTGTGATTTTCTTTTTTGGTTGAAGTTGTCGTACATGGGACACTGGACCCGGTTTCCAGTAAAGCCTAAACTGGGTATTGGCCCCAGGAATTCCGGGTTGAGATGCTGAGGGATTCCGATTTATGCGTGTCATCCTTGCGCAGGGGCCATGCTAATCTTCTCTGTATCGTTCCAATTTTAACGGATGTCCTCCAATTTTCTATAATACAAACTGCGCGAAAAAACAAAAAAAAACAAAACAAAAAGCAAGGCAGGCGGGCTTGCCGCTCGAGCCTCACCGTAGATCACGTGCTGCTCACAAAAACATGAAAAACTAACAACAGGTCATCCTCGCCCCATATGGGCGGATGTTGGCAGTATCCCCCCCAAAAAAAAATAAAAATAAAAATAAAAATGCTGGCAGTAATTGCGGTCGGAAACGTCGCAGAACCTCCAGTTTTTTTTTTTTTTTTTTTTTTTCTCGGAAGCTCTAGGAGTTTTGTCCGTCATGCCCTCAATCAAACTCGCACCATATATGGGCCTCGCTGCACTACTCTTGAAATGCACAAAAGACAAAAATCATGGCCGTGTATCTTTCCATATTCTAGCGGAAGATTCACTCTCGTTTTGCACATTTCGAGAGTAGTGCCCTTCTCTCTCCTAGAATTGCGAAGTCTGGGCCTCGCTCCACTACTCTCGACATGCACAAAAGACAAATTTAAAATCATGGCGGTGTATATTTCCCTGTCCTGCTGGAAGATTCACTCTCCTTTTGCATTTTTCGCGAGCAGTACTGCAGTGGAGCGCAGCCCTCTACCCGAGATCGAAGAGTCCGTACCGTGAACAAACCCGTGGTGCTGTTGTAAACTATTACGCTGCCCAGTTCCAGTTGGGCACCACTTGCATCTCTCTCTCTCTCTCTCTCTCTCTCTCTCTCTCTCTCTGTGTGTGTGTGTGTGTGTGTGTGTGTGTGTGTAAAAACTTTAAGTAAGGATCGAACTGCAGTGGAGCGCAGTATTGGCGTGGACCGAGCTAATCAGTACTAAGCAAGCGGGTGCTGTATCGGCGTGGACCGAGCAGCACGGAGCATCTTCCAAGATCCAACCTTGCCGACATCGCTCGTAGCCAGTGGGAGGCTTGACCGCTTTGCAGCGCCCGTAGGTTCATAGGTGGTGGTTGTAGGTGACCGTCACCCCAGAAGCGCAAAAAAGGGAGAGGCTCAGGAGGGGGGACCACTTTGCGGCTGCGAGTGATAGGAGCCCGAAAGCGATGGCGGCCACCACGGACGACTTGTTGAGGTTGGAGATGCCAGGCGATGAGACGCGCATCATCGCGGAGTACATCTGGGTCGGGGGATCGGGTCTCGATCTGCGCAGCAAGCCCCGCACTCTGCCCGGCCCTGTGAAGTCGGTGTCGGAGCTTCCCAAGTGGAACTACGAYGGGTCCAGCACGGGGCAGGCCCCGGGCGAGGACAGCGAGGTCATCCTGTACCCGCAAGCCATCTTCAGGGACCCTTTCCGAGGGGGGGACAACATCCTGGTGATGTGCGACTGCTACACTCCTCAGGGCGAGCCCATCCCCACCAACACCCGCTGCGCCGCCAACAAGCTGTTCCAGCAGGCGCCGGAGACGGAGCCGTGGTTCGGGCTGGAGCAGGAGTACACGCTGCTGGACAAGGAGCACAAGTGGCCGCTGGGCTGGCCCGTGAATGGCTACCCCGCGCCGCAGGGGCCCTACTACTGCGGCGTGGGCGCCGACAAGGCGTGGGGACGGCGCATCGTCGACGCGCACTACAAGGCGTGCATCTACGCGGGCATCACGATCAGCGGGACCAACGGCGAAGTGATGCCCGGGCAGTGGGAGTTCCAGGTGGGGCCGTCCATCGGGATCGCGGCGGGCGACCACCTGTGGGTGGCGCGCTACTTGCTGGAGCGCATCACCGAGATGGAGGGCGTGATCCTGTCCCTGCACCCGAAGCCCGTGCGAGGCGACTGGAACGGCGCCGGGTGCCACTGCAACTTCAGCACCAAGGCGATGAGGGAGGACGGCGGGTGGGAGGTGATCATGCAGGCCGTCAAGAACCTGGAGCTGAGGCACAAGGAGCACATCCTGGCGTACGGCAAGCACAACGAGGAGCGCCTCACGGGGCGCCACGAGACGGCCAGCATGGACAAGTTCACGTGGGCTGTCGCCAGCAGAGGAACGTCCGTGCGCATCGGAAGAGACACGGAGGCCAAGAAGAAGGGGTACATGGAGGATCGTCGCCCGGCCTCCAACATCGACCCGTACGTCGTCACCTCCCTCGTCTTCCAAACGACCACGCTCTGGAAGCCTTCCTAGTACTAGATGTTCATGAGAGTCTCAAAGGGTGTACTCACACTCGCTACCTATGCTACTATAGGTATCCGACCGCAGTTACGGTCGCACATGGATGTATAGGACCGCAATTACGACCATAAAAAAGAAAAAAGTCAAGAAGTTCCTAGTGTGAGTGCGCCCTCAGCAGATGAATTGCGACCGTTGCCCGTCAGAATAGAGCGGTGAATGAATGTGTGTAAGATCGCGCTCTTGTACATTCCGTTCGACGATCTGGTAGCACTTCGCTTTTTGTTTTTTTTTTCTATTAATACAGTGTAGGTGGGAGGGAGTTCGTATTTCGTCGAGCTGACGTGGCAACCTGAGCCAGTCGAAGTGGGGAGGCATTGCAAGCTTATTAGGTTGGTTGGTTGGTTGGTTTCCGAACCGTTCGCAGTGTTCGGAGTTTGATTAGACCTACACACACGATTGCAGGAAGCTGCTTTG